TGATTTGCATCTCTCAGATGATTAGTGACTTTGAGCATGTTTTCATGTCTCTTGGCCTTCCTTATGTCTTCTTTCAAAAAGTATCTATTTAGATCAGTTGCCCATTTTTTGATTGGGTTGTTTGTCTTCCTTTTGTTAAGTTGTATGAGTTCCCTGTAAATGTTGGAGATTAAACCGTTATCAGAGATAACATTGGTAAATATGTTCTCCCATGCAGTGGGTTTTCTTGTTGTTTTGCTGATGGTTTCTTTTGCTGTACAGAAGCTTTTTATTTTGATGTTGTCCCATTTGTTCATTTTCCCTTTAGTTTCCGTTGCCCAAGGAGCTGTGTCGGTGAAGAAATTGCTTCGGCATATGTCTGAGATCTTGCTGCGTGTGGAGTCCTCTAATATTTTTATGGTTTCCTGTCTTACGTTTAAGTCTTTTATCCATTTTGAGTTTATTTTTTGTGTATGGTGTAAGTTGGTGGTCTAGTTTCATTTCTTTGCATGTGTCTGACCAAGTTTCCCAGCACCATTTATTGAAGAGACTAGACTGTCTTGACTCCATTGTATGTTCTTGCTTCCTTTGTCAAATATTAATTTGAGCATAGTGGTTTGGGTCAATTTCTGGGTTCTCTATTCTATTCCATTGGTCTATATGTCTGTTCTTGTGCCAGTACCAGGCAGTTTTGAGAACAGTTGCTTTGTAATACAGCTTGATATCTGGTATTGAGATCCCTCCTACTTTGTTATTCTTTCTAAGGATTGCTGCAGCTATTCGGGTTTTGTTTTTTTTTTATTCCAGATGAATTTTTGGAGAGTTCTTTCTAGATCTGTGAAATAAGCCGTTGGTATTTTACTGGGGAGTGCATTGCATTTATAGATTGCTTTGGGAAGTATGGACATTTTAATGATGTTGATTCTACTAATCCATGAACACGGTATGTTCTTCCATCTGCTTATGTCTTCCTCTAACTCTTTTTTCAACGGCCTGTAGTTTTCCAAGTACAGGTCTTTTACCTCCTTAGTTAAGTTTATTCCTAGGTATCTTAATTTTTGTGTGCAATGGTAAATGGGATTGTTTTTGTAATTTCTCTTTCTGTAAGTTCACTATTGGTGTATAAAAATGCCATAGATTTCTTGGCATTAATTTTGTATGCTACTACATTGCTGAATTTATTTATTAAGTCTAATAATTTTTTGATGGAGGATGGAGTCTTTAGGGTTTTCTATGTACAGTATCATGTCATCTTCGAATAATGACAATTTTACTTCTTCTTTTCTAATTTGGATGCCTTTTATTTCTTCTTCTTGTCTAATTGCAATGGCTAATACTTCCAGTACTATGTTGAACAGGAGTGGTGAGAGTGGGCATCCCTGTCTTA